GTGCAAGGACCTTATGTTAGTGAGGATTAGGCTCCGTTGCTGCATTAGTAGTAGCAGTGCAAGGACCTCATGTTAGTGAAGATTAGGCTCCACGGCTGCAGTAGCAGTGCAAGGACCTTATATGAAAGATTAGATTTCATGATTGCAATAGTAGTGCAAGAATCTTATGATATTGAGAAACTAGATTCGGGTTGTAATAGCAGTGTATCTTTTGTTAATTGGTTCCACAGTGCAGTAGCCGTGTAAGGACCTTATGTTAATGAGAATAAAGCAGTAATAGCAGTATATCCTTTTGTTAGTTGGCTTCACGGCCGCAGTGGCGTTAGAGTTAGGCTCTGCAGTAGCAGTAGCATTTCAAGGACCTTATTCTAATGAGAATTAGACTTCACGGCTACAATAGCAGTAAAGGATCTTTTTTAATAAGAATTAGACTCCATGGCTGCAGTAGTAGTGCAAGGACCTATGGTTGGTAAAAATTAGGCTCAGCGGCTGCAGTAGCAGTGCAAAGACCTCATGTTTGTGAGAATTAGGCTTCGCAGCTGCAGTAGCAGTGAAAAAACCTATATGAAAGTTAGATTTCATGATTTCAATAACATTGCAAGGTTCTTATATTATCGAAAAACTAGATTTCAGATTGTATCCTTTTGTTAATTGGCTCCGCGGCTGCAGTAGTAGCAGTGCAAAGACCTTATGTTAGACACAGTGGCTGCAGTAGCAGTACAAGGGATTTACTTATTTGTGCAAGTGATACAAATCACGTCCAATAGTAAATGTTGTTTGTTGTTAATTTGCTAAAAGCATGTGAAATTTTGACCAGCGTTAGAGTTAGGATTAATGTTGATATAAAAAGGGTCGCAAAATTTTGAGTTACCGGCGATGTTTTGAAAAAGCCATCGATCTCACATTACACAAATATTGAACATGATCTTAGTATACGCGCAGTACAAGAACCTTACGTGAAGAATAGAATTTGTGGTTGCAATAACATTGCGTGGATTTCATGTCATTGAGAAACTAGATTTCGGGTAGTAATTATAGTGCATCTTTTAATTGGCTCCGCGGCTGCAGTGCAAGAACCTAATACTAGTAAGATCTTAAGCTTATGGCTGCAGTAGCAGTACAAAGACCTTATGCTAATGAGATCTTAGGCTTATGACTACTGAACAGTACAAAGGCCTTATAATAGTGAGAATTTCAGCTCCTTGATTGCAATAGCAGTGCAATGGCATTATGCTTCGCAGTTGCAGTAGCATGCAAGATTTATTTCAGTGAGAATTAGGCTCCACAACTGCATGGTAGTGCAAGGATATTAGATAATATTAATGAAGCTAACGTATTAGATATAAAACTTATATACTTGGTCGAATATATGCCAATATTACAGGAATGTAATTAAAGAGATAGGGTATTGAAACGTGAATTGTGTAAGTAGAGTTTTTTTTTTGTAGAAAAGGATAAACATTAAGCATTTATCTGCTATCTGAAAAAAAAAAAAAAAAGCTTGCAAACGTGATAAAGCATTCAATCTTGAATTTTGTTGCCAGGGATGTAATGTTTTTAGAGTTTTAGAAATTTAGTCGAGAACATCTCACAATGTGTTCAGGGGTCTATAGGAAAATATGAACGATGGAATGTCGGGTATATGGTAGATCTGATAGCAGTCGAAGTCTTGGTGGGAATGAGGACGATTCAAGAACGATGAATGTGAATACACAGTGTATTCTTGCTGATAATGTACCAGTACAATATTCCGGACTACACGTATCTGCCAAGCAGTATGGCCAAGTGATGAATCTCCAGAGAAAGTTGGGTTTTGCTGAAAGCGATCCTCTTTTTTATTCCCATATGTTCTTCCTCGATCGAGCAATAATAATGAGAAGCTTGTCAACTAAGTGACAGGGCGATCATTATTGCGAAATCAGATGACTTTATATGATCAGATGACTTTATGAATCACATGTTTAATTTGTCGTTTAGCTTCTTATGGATACGTATTTGCGTACAGTCTTACGGTGTCTTGTTAGATACAAGTATTTTCTGGTTAGTATGGTTGTTGGAATGTGAATTACATGAGAACGGGTAAGAGAAGT